TGATTGGCTTCCGCCGGGACCCCGCCTGGCCATAAACTTGGAATTTGTATGAAGTCACTCCCGTGTCCTTCCTGGGCCGTTTCATCCCTCATGACCGCCAGCATCCCTCATGTCCACGCAGAGACGGTCCGCACTCGCAGCCGCGGGGACGGCTGGGCTCCTGGCAGCGGGCTCCCAGCACAGCCTGTGCTCGCACTCCCGCAGCTGGAGGAGCCTCTGGGGGACCGGGTGCGGGGACGGAGCCGCCCTCCTGCGGCCGGGCCTCCGGGCCAGTCTGCCCGTGGCCAGCGCCCTGTCCTGGCTGCTTCCTCTTGTTTTTCCTTATCAGTCGGCCCCCCAGCAACACCCTCAGAGCCACGCCACGTGCGAGCCACGGGCCCGTCCACGGAGACCCATCGAGCTCCTCCAAAGCCACGAGCTCGTGGGCAGGCGTCTGGCCTCGTCCCTTTCCCCGGATTTAACGTCAGATGGACGTGTGGGTGTGAGGCGAGCAGCCAAAGGGAGCTGCACCCGGGGGCCTCTGGCTTCTCTCAGTGAGAGACCTGGGCTCGCATATCACTCCTGAGAGATACTGAGAGGCGGTCCCAGCTGAGCCGGCTCTCTCTGCCAGAGAAGCCGAATCCGCACCACCTGGGGGTCACGTGTCGAAGGAGCAGCTAAGCGGCTGTGTGTGTGTGGGGAGCCCGCTGTCGGGGGGCGGGGGGGCAGCACTGGCACCGGGAGGGCCTGGCTCAGCAGCAGGTTGAAAACTGTGGAGTTTGCTGCAGCTTTTCCCCTGCAGACGGTCCCGGTGTGGACGTGACACCCTGACACCCACCCCAGGACACGGAACCCTGGCCTGTGGGAGGTGGGCAGGGGGAAACTGAGGCAGGAGGAGCATCTGGAGGAGGGGGCACCTGTGATGGGGCCCGGACAAAGCCTGAGCGGGAAGGCCCCCGTATGGCATCGGGGAAAGGCCCCTGCCCCCCCCCCCCGCCGGGCAGTCTGCAAACAGCCTGTCTGTTAGAAATGAAGTGGGGCGACCCATTGGGACGAGAACCAAGAGCTCAGAAGTGGACCCAAGGACAAGGGGATTCATTTGATAGAAAGTGCTTTTCATCCGTGGGGTCAGGTGGGCGATGAACAGACGGGGAGGGGCAGGTGGGTGGCATTGACAATAAAAACATGGAGCCACACCTGGGAGCCACACCTGGGACCCGCCAGGAGGAATCCCAGATGTAGTGGCAGGACCGGGACAGGAAGCCCCGGGGGAAGCTGTGGGCAGCAGTTGGCGGTCACGGCGTGGGGAGGCCGAGGAGGCAGGGGTCCGGAGAAGGCATGGGGGTCTCCAACCCACACCGCCGAAGCCAGGTGACACACTGAGGGGATCTTTGCACTTCGAGGGACAGCTAATGTCTCTGCTGCATAAAGAGCTTTGAACAAAGTGCCGATGGCCCATGGGCTTAGGATTTTAGTTCCCCACCCAGGAAAGGGGGCGGCTGCTCCCACTCAGAGAGACGTAAACGTCACGCTTTTGCCTGAGAGAAAAGCATTCCCCCATCAGGCAGCAGCGTCAAACCCAGTGAGGGTCTCCGTGCACCGCTGCATGGGGCCATAGACCCCCAGCCACACACACACACACACACTGACGGGGACATCTGGCCTGATGAGAACTGCATTATCAACCTGGCCAGTGTGGCTCAGTGGGTAGAGTGTCAGCCTTTGGACTGAAGGGTCCCGGGTTCAATACCAGTCAAGGGCACGGACCTCGGTTGCAGGCTCCATCCTGGCGCTGGGCCCGAGCTCATGCAGGAGGCAACCAATCAATGTGTGTCTCTCATATGGATGTTTCTGTCTCTCCTCCTCTCTTCCACTCTCTCTAAAAATCAATGGAAAAATTTCCTCCGGTGAGGATTAACACAAAGCTGCATCATGACCTTTGACCAGGCAATCCTACTTCCAGGAACCTGTCCTCAGGCATGACACACACATAACCCCCCCTGCGTGCATGGGACCCCTCCTCGCGGCTGCCGGACGGACTCGGGGTTCGTGAGGGGCTGGGTGAATGGATCGGCCCCTCCTAGGGGTTCACGGATGACTCTGAAGAGCCTGAGGCCGACCGACTTTCAAGTAAAAAGGCAAATGCAGAGCTCACAGGGAGGCCGCTGCTATTGGGGAGGTGGGGCTGGCAGGCAGGAGGGACCCTCAGAAGCTTTGAACAGCCTCATGGGACAAGGCCTCGGGGCCAGGGGACCGGAGAGGCCCTCTCCGTTGTAATTTTTGGATTCAGAGCCCTGTCTGGATGTGTGAGGGTCTGGGCCCAGGCTGGGCAGATTCTCAGTTCAGCAAATCGCAGTTTGGGGGGGATGCTGAGCTGACCAGGGAGGCGAGGAGTCAAGAAGACTTGGGCAGCCCAGAAATACTAGAAACTTCCCTCCTGAGCAGGCTGGCCTCCGCAGAGCACGGAAGGCGCCCTGCACTGCCTCTGGCTTTAGGGGCAGCGGGGAGCTGGCCTCGTGGCCCAGCAGCTCCTGTGACTGGTGGCCCCTGGAGGGACCAGGTGCGCGGTGAGGACCTGCGCCCGCCTGGGCCTTCCTCCCTCCTCTCCTCCAGCTCCTCCCGCTGCGGGCGGTGCGGGCCCCGAACACCCCACACTCCCCCGCCCAGGAGGGGTTTCACAATTTATCAAGACCTGAGTACAGGACGGCCCTGGGGTCCTGCCCGCCCTCCGAGCTGAGCTGAGACTGGGGAATGTCCTTACCGCTCCACGGTGAGCCCACAGGTGGGAGGGCGTCTGGTGAATACCTTCATTTCACAGATGGGGAAACTGAGGCCCTGAGAGGGGCAGAGCCGGAGACTGAGGGGAGCTGGGTGGAGGCAGGGTCTCTGTGGAGGCCGAGGCGGGAGCCCAGGATGAGCCTGGGCTGCCTCCTGCCATGCCCACAGGATGCCGAGGGGCACAGGGAGAAGCTGGGGGCATTGTTGCCATGTATGGGGGGCAGGAAAGGGTCCCCAGGACACAGCGTGGCACTCTGGGCAGCTGGGGGACAGCAGAGGCACCGGCCCGCGGGCTGCCGGGCTGCAGGCAGAGGCTGAGGACGCCGAGCGGGGTGCAGCTGTGCCCTCCGCCCCCACCTGGCCCTGTGGGTCTGGAATGAGTTCCTGCTGCTGTTCTGAGGGCGGCCCCTCCCCCGCCCGGGAGCCTCGGGGCAGAGCGGGCCCCTAGGTGAGGAAGCGGGGCTGGCCAGGGGGCGAGTGGGTGCAGTGCGGGCCGGGCTCAGGGACCTGGGGCCTCGGTGGCAGGGCCAAGGCTGCGGGTGCCTTTTCCTTTCCAAGGAGCACGGAGGCCGGCGTTGCCAGGTCCGTGGTGGGCGGGCGGGGACCAAGCTCCACTAGCGACTCCTGCCTTCAGCACAGCGGGCCCAGGTGCCCTCACTGCCACCTTGGCCCCGGGACCCCGACTTTAGCTGGAGACACCGTAGCTCCTGTGTGCCCCGGAGCTGGGGAGTGCTCTGGGGCAGCCTGCCGGCAGAGCCACACCAGGGGCCAGGCAGTGTCCCGTCTGTGAAAGGAGGGGACCCACACCCCTCGCCCTGGGGACCGAGCTGGAGCTCAGCGGGTGCAGCGGCGAGCAGAGGAAGCTGGTCCTGAAGGAGCTGGAGCACGGGGGAGCTGGGGCACGGGCAGGGGCGGGGCTGGAGAGGGGGGACTTGGACTGCAGCGGGGCCACGCTCCCCACCCCAAGGACAGACAGACAGACGTGAGGCAGAGTGAGTCTGAGGGAGCCGAGAGCCGCTCCCAGACCTCTGTGGAAGAGCAGCAGCCCCGGATGGGTCACACTCGTCTTGACTCTGAGCCGATTCTCCCTTCTCCCCGCTTTTCTGGACGTAAACCCTTCCCACCGGGGCCCAGGGAGGGGACCTGACCCGCCAGAGCCGCCGAGAAGCAGCGATCCGAGGGGACCCAGGTGGGGAGCGCCCCGGGCCGGGCTGAGGGCCTGGGACCAGGCAGTGCGGCCAGGAGCACGGGCAGCCCGCTCAGGGGCAGGCCTGTCCCTCACTCCCAGGTCAGAGGTCACAGCTCCCAGGTCAGCCTGGCAATTCCCCTTTCCTCTAGAGCTCCTCGCTTCCCAAAGCAAATTCTCTTAAATTCCGAGGAACTTTAAAATCGTTTCCGTCTAGGAGCTTCTTGCCTAGGGGCTGGGGGAGGGCGGCGAGCCCCCAGCCTCAAGGGCTCAGGCCACAGGGGTCAGAGGTGAGGCCCCCCTCTGCCAAGTCCCCAGGAATGGTGCTCCTTCGGCGGCCTCTGAAAAAGGGATCACTAGGTCTCCCGCCGGCAGGCAGTGCAAGGCCGAGCCGCCCCGCCCACTAGCGCCATCGCCCGTGCCAGTGGCTGGGCCTGTGGCATCTGCCGCCAGGGCACAGGAGGCTCCCACTGCAGGGCGGGAGGCATCTGGCCCGGGCAAGCAGCACGCCGCCCGCGGGAAGGATGAGCACAGGGCAGCCCAGGCCCCGAGGTCCAGGCCCTGGCGCTGAAATGGCCACTGTCGCCCTCTCCCACCCCCCACGGGGTGATCTTGGGCCAGGCAAGCCCGTCCCATTCTATCTTCATGACCTCCTCACTTCTGGGTGATGGACTGTCCGGGTCAAGAAACGGGCACCTGCCCAGCAGAGAAGGGGGGGAGGGAGGCCTCCTCCCGGGTACCCTTTGCTCCTCTGGACGATGTTGTACAGGGGCCCTGCCCTCTGCCCGCCCAGTGGTGCCCCCTGCAGGCAGGAACGGAACTGACTCCACAAGAGCTGTCTGTGGACCCAGGCAGGATGCCAACCAAGACTGGCCTCCTGCTGGGCGAGCAGGGGGAGGCTGGTCAAAAGGCACCTCCGAGCCTCGGTTCCGTCCCTCCCCGACCAGAACCCATTCCACCAGCCAAGGAAGCGGAGGCAGCGCGGTCTCCAAACCGTTTATTTCTCCCGACGGGAGGCGGGGGCCGCCGGGAGCGGGAACGTGCTGGGGCGGGGCCCTCAGGCGAAGGTGGAGCCGTTCCAGCCCACGTTGGCCGCGTTCATGTCGTAGTAGTTGATGTAGATCCTGCGGGTGGAGACGGGTGCAAGCCGTGCTGAGCGAGCTGAGCGGGCTGCGCGCCCGGCGCCGCCGCCCCCCATCCCCCATCCCCTCACCCCCGCCGGCCCCCATCCCCCATCCCCGCCGGCCCCCATCCCCCATCCCCGCCCCGCACCTGTCCGGGCTGAGGCGCAGGCGCTCGGCCAGGAGGCCGCACAGCAGCTTGCTGTAGGCGCGGTTCTGCGGGCCGCCGATCTTGCCGATGCTGTGCAGGCTGCAGAGCGCGCAGGGCTCGGTGGAGCCGCCGAAACTCATGAGCTGGTCCGGCACCACGTGCACCGCGATGTACTGCGGGGAGGGCGCGGTCAGACCCCGAGCGGCTGGGCCCCCGGGCGCCCCCCCCCCCCGGGTCCCTCTCCAGCTCGGGGTGGCCTCCCCGCCCAGCCCGGCCCATCGCGGCCGCGGGCACCCCCTCCCGTCCCCCCCCGCAAACCTGGGCCGGCTTGCCCGTGGCCTGCGCCAGCTGCTGGGTGAGCTCGGAGAGGAGCCCGTCCGGCACCGAGGCGCGGGGCACGTTGGTGTTGACCACGAACATCGGCATGATCGCGGCGGCGGCGGGCTCGGGCACAGGAACTAGCGCGCGCGGCTGAACCTGAGCTACGTGACCCGCCGGTTCCGCCCCAGTGCGCCTGCGGCCCCGCCCCCGACGTCCCGAGACGGAGGCCCCGCCCCCGACGTCGCCGAGACCGAGGCTCCGCCCCAGTGCGCCTGCGGCCCCGCCCCCGACGTCCCGAGACGGAGGCCCCGCCCCCGACGTCGCCGAGACCGAGGCCCCGCCCCAGAGCGCCTGCGACCCCGCCCCCGACGTCGCCGAGACGGAGGCCCCGCCCCGTGAATCCTGGCTCCTGCGGGAGCCGGAGCGGTGAGGGCCATGGGGTCGGCCGCCAGCGGGTTTCCGAGCTGGTTCCCGCTCGTCCTGCTGCGGGGACCCCTGGCCGCGCTCACCTCCGCGCAGCCCCCGAAACGTGCCTGCCCCTCAGTCCCTGGCGCTCGGGAGCTGGAGTGCGATGGCCCTGTCCTCAGGGGCGAGGCCGGCCCCGCAGAGGTGTCCCACTCCCTCCCCTCGCACGCATTGAGGAAGCCCCATGAGCCCCAGGGACCACAGTCCTGAGTGTGAGGAGTGCGCTGGTCATCGCTGCAGGGGCTGGAGGGCCGCCCGTCCCCACCGGTGCCACCTCCCAGGGGTGGGCGAGGATGCTGGCAGGTGCCCAGGGTGGGAGCGGGGAGCGGGAGGCGGGGCCCAGACACAGCTCCTGGGGTGAAGGGACGGCAGCAACCAGAGCTGGGGGCCACCCCAAACTTCAAGCCACTTCTGAGCACTAGGGCTCCGCCTCTGGGTGCCTCAGAGCCTGCAGCCAGGCAGCCAAGCACACACTCGGTGCCGGCTGAATAAATGAATGGGTGAATGAGTATCGCCATGAGACAGGAAGAGGACAGCAGCTGAAGTGGGGCCCGGGCCACGCCGAGAGCCAGGGCCACCCACCGCCACTCTGAGGGCCCCGGGGGGGGGGGGGCATGCCGAGAGCCGATCTCGGGTGCGAGAGGGAGCGTGTTGTGTTTGTCCAAATCCTCTGAGCTCTCCAGGAAGGTCCTGTCCTTGGTCTCGGGGAGATGAACCAGGCTCATGAGGTGCAGCGAGAACTGACCACTGGTGCCAGGACGGTGCGCCCTGCGCCACGTCTCCAGCCAGAGCGTCCTCGGCCCAGCACCCGGCTCAGCACTGCTTTCTCTATGTCCATGTCAACTGCTCGGCTCTTCTCCACTCTAATTGCCTGCTTCCCGCCTGGATCTCACTCCTCCGCACCCACCTCACCACCACTGCCCGCTGCATTGCCCCAGCAGGGCCCCGATGATATGTGAACAGGAGGGACATGAGCGACACGTCCGAGGCCGGCACCCAGCGTGCTGCTCGCTGACGTCCTGCCGGGAGCCCGGCCCTGTGCAGGCTGTGACTGGGAATAGGGGAGCCCCCCCCCCCACCCCCATCAGGACGGCCTGAGCCACTTGCCGTCACTTCCCACCTTGTTCCCAAGGAGACAGTCTCGTTCCCAGGCCGCCCTCTTGCTAGCCTGGATACTTGCCTGATACTCTGAGCCTCATTTCCCTGTAACGGGGGTGCCGGCCATCCCTCCCTCACGGAGGGTGTGCTGGTCTGCACACGGGGGTGGTCTTCTCCGACATCAGAGACTGCACCGCCACCACGCCCCGGGACCTCCCGCCCACGGCCGGCGCGGCCCTCTCTCGTCCCTCTGTCCATGCCACGCTCCTGGCTCCTGGCTCTGGCGTGGGCCTTGGTCCGTTCCTTGGGAAAAGCACCTGAGTTCCTGGTTCTGGCAGGTCCTGCCGGCTCAGCATCCGTCCTGTCCTTCGAGGCCATGGCCACATTTCTGTTTGTGAGCCAATCTCTCCAGGCGCAAGCCCCGTGAGAGTGGAGACTTCAGCCGCTGCTGTCTGCCTCCTTCCTGACGCTGCACTCGGTGCGGTCCCAGGCCTCCAAGGATCCCCGTGTGACCGGGCCCGGAGCACCTGTCACCGGGAAGACGCACCGGCTCGCGGGCTGTGACTGGGGAGATTGTCGTGGATTATCTGGCTGAGTCCAAGATAACCGCAGGAGCCCTAGAGAGCAGAGAATTTTCTCCAAGGAGTCAGGGGGTGCACCGCGCCGAGGGGGAAGCCAGACCCAGAGCGGGAGGCCCCCAACACTGCTACAGGCTTTGCCGATGCCGGGCGCCGCAGCCACGCACCGCAAGGAACTGAATTCTGCCGACAGCCTGAATGGACACGGAGGGGGGCTTCCTGGCTGAGCTGAAGCACCTTGACCTCGGCCGTGTGAGGCCTGATCCCTCCCCTCCCCCACTCCGGCTGGCCCTCTGACCCACAGCCGTGAGCTAATAAACGTGCGCTGGTATAAGCAGCTACACGTGTGGTCATTTGTTCTAGGAGCGACAGAAAGCAATGCCTCTGGCATCCATGGGGCTCCGTGGTCATCTGCTCGCAACAGGACCCCTGTGCAGGAGGCGATGCAGGCCCCTTCCTCCTCACCAGGACCCCAGTCTGTGATGAGAGCTCAGCTGCCCGGATGTGGATAGGGGGCAGCAGCGGCTCTGCTGATGGAGCGCCGCCCTAGCAGCTTCCTGCCGCCCCAGCCAGGACAGGGACACAACCCCGGCTGGGCAGCAGCTGCTGGGCAGCCGGGAGCTGGGAACCAGGCCACGGAGTGAGCAGGGGTGGCCCAGGAGAGCCTGGGCTCGGGGCCCTGCCAGCCCCTGAGGTTAGAGGAGAGAAGCCCCTCCACCTCGCACCGCCGGCCAGTTTCGGCCGTTCAGAAAAAGCTTCTTGAGGCAGGAATCACAGTTTTCTCTGGGAGTAGAATTTCTGTTGGGTATAAACCTACCCGCATGTCCAACAAAAGGTGCCTCTGGGCTGGCCTGGCATCACGACTGCCCAGGAAAAATCTGTTCTGGTGGCAGGGAAGGGGAAGAGGGGGCATCAGACCCGTGTACCAGGTCAAGGTTCGATTCCCGGTCAGGGCACCTGCCTGGGTGCGGGCTGGATCCTCAGAATGGAGCGTGCAGGAGGCAGCCGATCCATGATTCTTATCAATGTTCCTCCCTCCCTCTGCTGACTGACGTGGTGATGGTGACGTTAGCCCAGAGATGCTCTCGCCCTGCCCTCAACACACAGGAGACCACACATCCCCTTGTTATGTTGCCACTGAGTTCACTGTTGACTGTTAACCATCCTGCGCCCACCTACTCATTTCCCTTTCCATCCAGCGCGAGGCCCCCCGCCCCCTCACTATCGCCGAGGGGCTCACGTAACCACTGTCGGCTCCTCACTGTGATGTACACAGCTCGGTAACCACTCCATCCTCTGGAGCGTTATTCCAGCTCCTTGAGATTCTGCTTCCTGGCAACTGGCTCAAATAAACTAACAAAAATTCTCTAACACAAGTGAGAGTGGAATGAAACGAAGACAATGACCAGTTTGTACCTAGCCCCGACGGTGGCGTCCCTCCGGACCCCCAGGCCTCTGTGTGAGAGCTGGCGCACTGACCTCAGCTCCTGAGACCTTCACAAAGGCGACCTCGGGCATCTCTGTCTTGCGAGTTCAGCTTTTTTTGAACTGAAGATGCTTGGCGCAGAATACATGTCTGACAACATGTGTTCACGGGGTTTTGCATTGAGATGCGACCTCGCCGTTCCCTGGGAGCCGCTGGTCTCCCCATGACCGCCAGCTGTGGGCACAGCCTCAGAACAGGCCATTCCCTTGCAAATGTCCAGGGCAGGAGTCCGTCCCGTCTCGGACAAGAGTCCCAGGAAAGCCTTCCTGGTTCGTCCGTCTCACTGACAGAGCCCTCCTATGACAGGCCAACGCTGGCCCGGGCTAACCGTGTGGGAACCTCAGCCGAACAGAGCGCTCCCATCAGGAGCCATGTCCCACTGAGGTGTGGTCACCGAGGACCAGAATGTGGGTGGACTGAGGAACGAGCCCGGCCAGTCTGGCTCAGTGGCTAGCGTCATCCCGTGGACCAAAGGGCCACAGGTCTGATTCCTGGTCAAGGACATGTACATGGGTTGCAGGTTTCCTAGCCAGGAGGGGTGGGTGCGGGAGGCAACCAATTGATGTCTCTCTCACATCAATGTTTCTCTCCCACTCCCTCACTTCCATTCTCTTTAGAAATCAATAGAATATCCTTGGGTGAGAATTAAAAAACAAAACAACACACTGGCCGGTGAGGCTCAGTGTTTGTGCATCAACCGAGACAGAGAGGTCTAAGCCATACTCTGGTCAGGGCACATGCCTGGGACTGTGGGCTCAGCTCCCCAGCAGGGGGCGTGCGGGAGGCAGCTGATCCATGTTGCTGTTTCCTTCATTGATGTTTCTATCTTGTTCTTCCTCTCTCTAAAAATCAATAAACACATTAAAAGACACTCATGCTCAGCAGCATCTCTGGACGTAGTCTTGCATAGCCCTGGTAACTTAAAAAAAAAAAAAAAAGGGGTGACACCCCACCCATAGCAGAGCCTTTAGTGATAAAGCCGCTCACCCCATCCCAGCCATCTGCTTCCGGTTTATTCTGCAGCCGGACACTGTGCAGGCAGGGGAGCGGGCGGGGAGCTGTCCCCCGGGGCCTGGACCACTGGGACATGAACGGTGGACCGGGCTCCCCGCTCAGCGCTGGACGTTAGGGGCTGGATGATTCTTTTTTTTAGAGAGAGAGTAGAAAAGAGAGGGAGAGAAACTTGGATGTGAAACACATCGATTGGTTGCCTCCTGCACACGACCCCACCAGGACCCTTCTGTCCGCAGACCAGTGCTCTACCCACTGAGCCAACCAGCTCGGGCCGAGATGATGTTCTTGAAGACAGAAGGTCTGGCCAAGAGTTAGTGCCCATGACCAAGAAGAAGGGCCTCAGGGGGGACAGCCAGGGGCGAGAGGAGGCAACCGATCAACGGGCATGTCTCTTCCATTCTTCTCTCCTCCCTTCCATTCTCCCTAAAAATCAGTGGAAAATATCCTCTGGTGAGAATTGACAAGAATAAAAAATAAAAGTGGCCTAGGCGATCAGGAAACCTCTGCCCTGGCCCCCCACAGGCACGCGGCAGTTTGCAGGAGAAGTGGTGTATTTGGCTTAAGGAAGCTTGTGTTACTGACGTTAACGCAGAAGTCTGGCTCCACCCACGCTCATTAAATAGAAACCTAGGGATCAGTCACGCAGCACACACGGAGGGCCTGGCCACCCACACGCATGTCCCGAGAGTTTGGCATGTTTTCCACGTGCGTCCTCGGAGCGGACAGTCCGTCTGAGGCTCCGGGCGGAGGGGCGCCTGGACCGAGGGCGGTGCGAGGCCGAGAGCCGGGGCCGCCGGGGCCGTGGCGGGCGCCGCGGTGCCGGGTTCAGGCGCAGGTCCGAGGCGGCGGCAGGCTCACAGGTGCTGCAGGGCCTCCTGTCCTTGCTCCGTGTAGCCGTCGTCCCGCTGGGCGCTGGCCCACTGGCCGAAGGACTCCTGGCTGTGCGGGCTGCGCTGCATGGTGGCCAGGCGCCTCTTGTCCCGGGAGAAAAAGCTAAACCTGCGGGGAGGACAGCCGTGAGCGCCGCCCTCGAGGGCACGGACGCTGAATGCCACGCGGGACACAGAGCACGCGGGCGGGAGCACACCCCAGGCAAGGGGGGGACACACGGGGTGCGGCCGGAGTCACGCCGGAAAGCGGCAGGTGTCCGTCACGGCACCTGGGAGGGGACCGCGTGGACGGGGAGCGCACACGTGACGCCTCTCCCCCCAGCGGAGGGAAAGGGCTGCCGGAAGCCGCCCTCACGGGTGTCCGCAGCCTGTGGGTGCGGGGAAGGCAGGCCCGAGGGCCACACGTGGGAGGCGGCTGCGGGGCGAGCAGGCGAACGTGTGTGTGTGTGTGTGTGTGTGTGTGTGTGTATGTGTTGGATGATGCTTATGGAACGGTGTGAGCGGCACCTCAGAGCCCAGATTGCATGGACGCTGCTGCCCAGGCAAAGCAGGGATGTGAGCAAAATGAGCTAAGTCAGAGCCCTATGACTGGGACATGTGGTTCTGCTGAGAGAAACACGGAGACTCTGGAGAGTAAAAAACTGACTGATGGTGACAGCCTGGCGGACTGATCACTTCATGAGAAACAGCGAATGCAGCCTGGCCCTGGACAGTGTGGCGCAGTGGTTGAGCGCCAACCTATGAACCAGGAAGTCATGATTCGATTCCCAGTGAGGATACCTACCCTGGTTTGCAGGCTCCATCCCCAGTAGGGGTTGTGCCGGAGGCAGCCGATCCATGATTCTCTCTCATCATGGATGTTTCTTTCTCCCTCTCCCTTCCTCTCTGAAATCAATAAAAATGTTAAAAAAAAAAAAAAAAAATCTGAGTGTAGACCAGAAGGCCTTTTGAAAACAGCCGGCTACTGGTCACTGGCCCATCAGAGTGAGCCATCGATGCCCGGGAGATAAAGGTGGGCCTCACGGGCCATTTCCCATGAGGTCTGCGGCCTCCTCCTCAGCCGACGAGGACCGCCCACCCCCTTCCTGCACCCCCGCCTCCCGCCTCGTGGTCCTGGCCTTGGTAAGTGACCCCACGCTAAGCCATGCTCCCGGCACAGGGGTAGGAAGAGCCATGGAGAAACTCCCGCTGCAGATGCACCCCGCTTAGTTCCGTCTGCTCGCCTGTTTGCTGTGTGTGTGTGTGTGTGTGTGTGTGTGTATGTGTATGTGTGTATGTGTGTGTGTGTGTGGGTGTGTGTGTGTGTGAGTGTCTGTGCACTGTGGCCCATGAGGCTCAGTGTGAGCCCATGTGAGTGACTGTCTGTCCTCTTCATGGCTACTCGACCCTGCAACCATGTCCCAGCAGGAATGGGTGGTCCTTCCTGCAGACCGGGGGCGGGATCTGCCGGGAACCCTCCCTCCCGGCTAAGACCTCTTCCTGTGAGAGGTGCGCGAGGGGCTGACGGACACACCGCTTCACCCCGGGCCACGTGTGAGCTCTTTCCAGAGGGTCGTCAGGGCAACAAGCCGGCCACAGCACAGCAGCCACACGGCACTGTCACGTGCCCGCCTCCCTCAGGTAAGCAGGCCAGCCACGTGCCACTTCCGGCCAAGGGGACACGGAGGGAGTCAGCACACAGGTCCCCTCCTTCACTTTTCCTTAAAGAAAAGGTCAGATCAGCCTGACCTAGGAACCAGGAGGTCAGGGTTCGGTTCCCAGTCTGCAGGAGACAGCCGATTGATGATGTTCCTGTCTCATGGATGTTAATCTCTCTCCCTCTTCCTTCCTTCCTCTCCCTAGAAATCAATTAAAAATAGTTTTTAAAAAGCCAGATCAAATAGCTCCCTGCCATCAGCTTGGCAAAACACAGCGGTTTAGAAAGCTGGCGTGGAGACGGAACACCGTGTTAGTGTCATTGGTGGGGGTGTCAGTGGGCGTGATTACTGACCCGTCACTTAAAGGACCTTCCTTACTGGCCACGGACAAGGTGGTTTTAGAGCAGAAACAGAAGAGACAGAGAGAGTCGTCAGTGGCAGAGCCGACGGCCAGGCCTCCAAGGCGGGCCATCGGGCTCGTCGGAGGCCGCGCCCGACACCCACTGCCCGGGACACGCAGGCGGCGGCCATGCAGCCAGTGCGGCCAGGGGGACGGGCAGCCCAGCGGCAGCCGCAGCAGCACACCCCCACGGCCACGCTCACACACGTCAGAAACACGCAGTGCCTACAAGGGACACGAGTCCTCGCACGGGCTGCAGGGTGGGGTCATCTAGGATCAGTCCGGCCGCTACCATGGGCATTACGGCTGTAAAGAGCCTGCTCGGAGAAGCACAGACAGACAGACAGAGTGAGAGAGGCACCGCGGAGGGGCCCAGGGCACGAGACGGGAGCTGTGCCCCTCATATGATGGCGTCCTGGCCCGGGGCCTCCGAAGGTGCCTTGCAGGGGCAGGGCATTTGCCGATGTAACTGGTTAAGATGAGGTCATGGACATGCACACAGGGAGGAAGGCCACGTGGGGATGAAGGGGGAGGGCTGGAGAAAGTTCTAGAAGCCAAAGAAGGCCAACACCAGACCCAGGCGAGAACCGGGCAGGTGACAGCCACTGGGAGGCCTAGGGGGTGGCAGCCAACAGGGAGGGCGTCGGCCCTTGGCTGGGCCGGGACCACCAGGGAGTGCCAGCCACACCCCTGCCGTGCACCGTGAATGGCTCGGCTTTTTTTTTTTCTTTTCAGTTTTTGGGAAGTTGGCGGGAACGACATAAACGACTGTCTCGGCGAGGCTGGGATTCTGTGTGTGGTCGCCTCTGATGCGCCCGAGTGGCTGGCATCCGGGCAGGACCAGCTGACGGCTGCTCACGTGACAACGAGAAGAGGCTCCAAGCCACAGGGTCAGGCTCCCCCGTTCGCCAGGACCCCCTCAGCATGACGGGAGCCCCCAAAGACAGTCTGTGGGGGATGGCCCTCAACATGGCTGGGCCTTCTGCCTGCACACGCGCTGGCCAGACGGAGGGCAGGGCCCCGGGACCCGGCCTGGGCGGCCCCTGAATGGACGGCCCTGCCCTCCCGGGGGGCGCCTCCCTGCAGAGGCCCCTGCTCTCCCCCAACGCCCCCTGAGGCGGCAGGTTAGCTCTGGAGGCAGGTCACGCGGCCGGGAGGCTATTTCTAGGCTGGAGCGGGGGGGGGGGGGGGGGGGGGAGGACGGGGACAGCATGCCCGCTGCCCCACCGCTGGACCTGGGTGGCCGCCGTCTGACCGCCGCCTCCTGGCCTCCCCCCTGCTTCCTGCCTCCGGCCAGCCCCTCCGCCCGCTCAGCGGGAGCAGCTGCTGGGTCCCTGGGTCCCCGGGACCCCGAGCGGAGCGGAGCGGAGCGGAGGCCACACGAAGGGGCCCCGGTGCCTGGCGTCCGCTCGCACGGCCGTGTGACCTGTCGGCAGGGCCAGCGCCTGGGCCAGCAGCTGCGGTCACAAGCTATTCTTGGACCGTCTCCTGGGCACGCTGTTTTGACTGGCAGCGGGTTTCTGGTTCCCTCGGGCAGCCCAGCCCAGAAACGCAGGCTCCAGTGCCTCCGACTGTGGGCACGGAGATAAGGGAACTAGCTGGGCGGCCGCCCGCAGCTGGCGACAAGGACTGGGGGGAGGGGCCGGGGCAGGAGGGGGAGGACAGCCGGTGGCAGGCAGGCAGCCTGGGTTAAGTCCTGGCTCCCAGGCCCTCACTGTCTCCCAAGAAATGGGCGGACTGTCCCAGCCCGGAGCACCCCTGATTGGGGGGCCAGGGGGCAACTTCGCTCAAGTGCTCCGAGCTGGTTTATAGCCCATCACATTCTCCAAGGGTCTTTGATGCAAAAAAAACACTGAGGTGGGCCCAGCCGGCGTGGCTCAGGAGTTGAGCACTGACCTGTGAACCAGGAGGTCAGGGTTCGATTCCCGGTCAGGGCACAGGCCCGGGTTGCGGGCTCCATCCCCAGTGGGGGGCGTGCAGGAGGCAGCCGATCCCTGACCCTCTCTCATCACGGATGTTTCTCTCTCTCCCTCTCCCTTCCTCTCTGAAGTCAATAAAAACATTAAAAACAACAGCTCTGCAGTGGCCTTAGGACTCGGGGCGGGCAGGGACAGGCTGCTCCTTCCTGGTGCCCCTCAGCAGCCCTGACTCCGCATTACGTATCCTTAGCTCCTCAGCAGAGGTATGCGCACCAGTGGCTGTCAGTGGAGGTATGGAGGGACAGGTGGGGAGTCACCGGAGCATGCAGAGATGAGGGGCCGACCGGGGCCCATTCCTGACCTCGGAGCTGGGGTTCCAAGCCCTTAAGCAGCACAAGACCCCCCCCCCCCCGCCTCAGCCTCAAGGACACCCCCCACCAGACCCACTCAAGTGAGTCTTGCCCCCAGCTCTGCCCGGGGACCCCGGACCCCACCCAGAGGGGCCCGAGCCCAGGCAGCCCCCGCGCCCCGTTAGGCCTGTCTGCAGGAGCTGGTTAGGAGAGGAGAGCCGCCAGCGAGCAGCGTGGCCGGAAGCCGGGCACTTACAGTCGCTTGATGCCGGACTCGGGCTGGGGGGACGTTCGCGGGTGGATGACGGGCGGGGGCTGCAGTATCCGGTTCTCCTCCTCCATCTCTTCACTGGGAGGGTGAGAGGAGGGAAGCAAGAGTCAAAAACCCCAGGAGAGCTGGAATGTTCCAGAAGGGTCCTGTCTGATGGCCGGGGAATAAGGGGACCCAGGAGGCTGGTGCCAGTGGCCTCCCCGCCTGGGGGGCTGCCCCTGGGGAGGGGCACGGCAGTGGGCAGAGAGGCCCCCCCCCCTGCAGGCGGCAGGCTCGGGGGCCTGGGACCCTCTGGCTTTGGGACCACGTGTGTTTATTTACAGACTGCACAGAACAAGAGGCACGTTCTGTATATAAGAAAGGTTAAAACGGAGTCATTTGGGGTCTGGAACGAATTAACTCAATTTACATGATTTCTAACGGGGGGAAAAAATGAGTCTGTTTTCCACCAGCCTCCGAAACCAATGAAGTTCCAGAAATGAGGTTCCACTGTACTTCCTGTTTCCTGTCCCTGCAAATGCTGGTCTCCACACCTTTGCGGTTTCTCCCTTCGCCACCCATAGCCTCCCCCGTCACCCCCCATCCTGAATGGTACCCTCTCCTTTGGGGCAGCCCCGTCCAATGCCACCTCCTCCGGGAAGCCTTCCCAGAGTGAGACGGGGGGCTGGTAAGTGCGTGGGCCAGAGGCCCCAGGACAGACGCAGATGCTGCCCTGGTCCTCCAGGCGCTCCGTCCCCGGCCCTGCACGACCCCGGGGCCTCGGGGCTCCGGGCTTTGGGCTCGGGCGCCGGCTCCGGCGCTCACCTCTTGTAGTACGCCAGCTCCTCCTGCAGCAGGAACACCTTGGACTTGAGCTCGTTCCTCTCGTGCAGCACGTCCCGCAGCTCCTGCAGCGTGAAGCGCGGGCGGTTGGGGTCCTGGGGGTCCATGGCCGCCCGCTCGGCCTCCGAGATGCTCTCCTCCGCGGGCTCCGCCTGGAGGCACAGAGGCTGCTGGTGAGCCGGGCGGCACCCGGTCCCGCCGCGCGGCCACCTCCGGCCCGCAGCTGCCCGGGGCGCTATTTCAGGAACCCTGGCCTCCGCTCGTCCCGTGATGTCCTCTGGGGACGAGAGCCGGCGGCCACCTGTCCATTGTCTGCCGTCCCCGCCGCCCCACCTGACGCGGGGTTCCGTTACCAGGTGCATTCAGAGGCGGCCAAGAGCAGAACCCCACACCCACGGCCGCCACCCTCTGCCCCGCCTGTCCCCTCCCGGCGTCTCACCAGGCCCCTGCGACGGGCCCGCTGCTGGGGCCGGCGCCCGCGCCTAATCCCCTCCACCTCTCCCCTCTGTGACCGGCCTTCTGGTCCAGCCCTTTCTCCCGTGGCCGTGGGCAAGTTCCCGGGGTTCAGTGGAAGCACAGCTCAGCGGTATGGGGTGGGGGGGTGTCACACAGACGGATCCCAGCGTGCTAAGTCCCAGGCCTCATCCAAACCTGGTCCTCCCACCCTCTGCCAGCAAAAGGAGCTTTAAACAAATGATGGTAAGCCCGCTGACATGGCTCAGGGGTTGAGCATCGGGAGGTTCCATTCCTGGTGTGGGCACAGGCCCGGCTACGGGCTCCATCCCTAGAGGGAGCCAGGTGGTGATGGTGAAGGAGGCAGCCGATCCATGATTCTCATCATTGATGTTTCTCTCTCTCTCATTTCCTCTCTGAAATCAATAAAGTAATTTAAAAAAAAGAAAGAGGAGGAAAAGCTCAGGACGAGAGGGAAGGTTTCAGAACAGGAGAATGAGATTGAAATAAAGACCCTCCCCACCTCCAAACAACACCTGGCAGCACCGGGCCTCGGGGACACCGGCCTGGTAGGGGACGCGGCCGGGATGCTGGGCCCAGAGCCCTCCCGGGAGCCGGACAGGCTGTCCCTGGGAAGGGACACTGGAGAGGAGACACCCCCCTCGGGCAGGTCAGGTGACACAGGCCACTGGGCGGGCGGGGGAGGGTGAGTGACCCGGAGTCAGCAAGCAGCACGGAGACAGGGGCAGCAGGAAACCCAAACCTGACCACCCCCCCCACCAGCTGGGGATCGCAGTCGGCTGGGACCGTGGAGGAGGCTGGGGTTATCTCGGCTTGTCCACTGATTCCCCGAGGCCTCTGGGCACGGCCCGAGGGAGAGCCCAGGCCCAGCTGCTCCCCGGGGAGGCCCGGGAGCCCGGCAGACAAGCACGGGGCTGTCTGAGAGGCTCAGGGAGGCCCCCGTCTCCCTCCGGGCCTCCATCCCCAGGCCTGGTCCCCTCGCACCCTCCCTGCTGCCCGGCACGCCACGGCCACTTCCTGTGCCCCCGGCCTCACCTCGGGCTCCTCCCCGCCGTTCTGGCTGGGGCCGCTGCGCAGCCGCTCCCGCAGCCGCCCCAGCTCCGCCCGCAGGCTGCCCAGCTCCTGCTCCCTGGTCTGCAGGTCGGCCTCCAGCTCCACCTTCTGCTCGATGAGCGCCTTGCCCTGCGCCTCCACCACCGTCACCCGGTGCCGCAGGTCGTGGTTGATCTTCATCAGCCGCGTCTGCTGCTGCTGCAGCTGCGGGCGGAGAGGCCGCTGACGGCGCCGCGCACGGCAGACCAGCCCGCGCCCGGCCCCGCGTACGGCCCACGCCCTCCGGGGTCTGGCCCGTGTTCGCACGGCCGATGCCGGAGGTGGCTCCGTGGGTATGTGTTCACTGCGGTCCCTCGACGGCAGACCGGAGACTGCTTCCCGGCAGAGGGAAGTGACATGCCTTGAAAGGGGTGTGTGGTGTTTTTTTGTGTGTGTGCATGTGTTTTTTTTTCATTGGTTTTCCAGAGAGAGGAAGGGAGAGGAATAGAGAAATAGTAGTATCCATGATGAGAGAGAGAGTCATGGACCAGCTGCCTCCTGTATGGCTCACACTGGGGATGGAGCCCGCAGCCCGGGCCTGCGCCCGGGGATGGAACCGAGACCTCCTGGTTCACAGGTCGATGCACAAGCACCGAGCCAGCGGCCCGGCAAGGAAGGGTGTGCGTTTCCGATTCCGGCAGAGACCCCCCTGCAGCCTGGTGGGCGCAAAGCAGGGGCTCCGGAACCATTCAAGGAGGGCCTCAGGGTCAGAGCCACGGCTGACCGGCCTGGGCCTCCCAGGGTGTGGGAGGCAGGAGGCAGGGCCCCCGGTGGGGCATGGTCCCTCCCGCTGTTCCTGGGCTGGGCAGCCAAGCCTCAGGCAGGACCCGCACCCCACGGAGCCCACGGGATGAGACCGGGGAGACGGGGACTTGCTGGCCGGGAGGAGGGACGCAGGGGGCGGGGAAGGGGGGACCGGGTCACTCACGGCCTCCACGTCCTCGCTCTTCAGGCCCAGCTCCCGGTCCTTGGCGCGGATCTCGTCGCGCTGCTTGTCCACCACCTCCTTCAGCTTCTTCATCACCTGCCGCTCCCGCTCCGACATGCCTGGGGGGGGGGGGGACGGCAGGTGAGCCCCTGCCCTGCCCGCTCGCCCCCGCCCCCCGCCCAGGCCGCGTCCTGCCCCCGACCTTCCTGCTTCTGGAACTCCTCCTCGGAGAAGCCGGCGTCCTTGTGGGAGAGGTTGGTGAGCAGCTGCTTGTTCTCCTGCTGCAGCTGTGCGATCTGGGACAGCAGGTCCTGCGCCTCCCCCCGCCACACGTCCTCCACCAGCTCCAGCTCCTGCGGGGCGGGGGGCCGGTCACGGCCTGCGGGGCTGGGGGCTCCCTGTCCCCACAGCCCGAGGGGCACCGTGCAGACGGGAGGGGGCGCCGGCCCGGGTGGACGTGCCCAGGTGAGACCAGCGAGGTCAGCCACGGAGCGGCCGGCACCGGGCACCGGCCCACACCCCTGACCTCTGGACAGACCCTCCGTCAGGACAGACTCCTCTCCAGGGAGGGAGGCTGCGAAGACCCCGGGGCTGCCCCCTGGACCCAGGGGTCCCCGTACGTCCCCTCGGCATCTCCCCCGAGCGCCCTGGGCGGGTTCCTTACCACTCGGGCCTCCGTTTCCCTCAGCTGAGGAGCCCTGAGCCTCCTCAGCTGTGAGAAGGCACGGAGCACGGACACCTGCCACAGCGTGGATGAACCTGGTAAACGTCACACAGCCCTGGCCGGTGTGGCTCAGTGGACAGAGCGTCGCCTTCGGACTGAAGGGTCCTGTGTTCAATTCCGGCCAAGGGCACGTGCCCGGGTTTCGAGCTGGGTCCTCAGTAGGGGGCATGCAGGAGGCAGCCGATCCATGATGCTCTCTCATCGTGGATGTTTCTCTCTCTCTCTCTCTCTCTCTCTCTCTCTCTCTCTCCCTTCCTCTCTGAAATCAGTAAAAATATATTTAAAAGATAAACATCGCACTAACACAAAAATCACACTCAGTAAGAGCAGCCAGCACGAAGACCCACATATTGAGGACCCACTCGTGGGAAATGTGCTAAACCCACAGGCAGAGAGCCTGGCTGCTGTCCAGGGCGGAGGGCGGGAGCGGGGAGGGGAGGTGGGGGGGCAGTGACTATTAAGGAACACGGGTGTGTTTTTAGAGAGGGGGAAGGAGAGGAGAGTCACTCCTGCAGCCCCCCCTCCCTCAGGGATGGAGCCCACCACCGGGGCCACGTGCCCGGACTGGGAATCGAACCAGCAACCGTTTGGTGCCCGGATGACGCCCACCCACTGCGCCCCCGGCCAGGGCCACGCGGGCTTTCTTCTCTGAGCCAAGAAAACGTTCTAAAACGGACGGCAGTGACGGCTGCACAGCTCTGCGGAGTGACTGAAAACATGGGATTGAAGCTTTAAGGGGTACGTTGCATAATATGCAAATTCTATTCAATAAAGCTGTTACCCCAAACCTGGCATTCTGCATTTTGTAAAACTACGAACTAAGCCGATGCCCGCACAGATGACTAGGTTAAAGCGGACACCCGGGCCTGGATCCGAATTGTTCCCGCCGGGTCCCAGCTGGTCGGGGACAAGGTACTCGGCCTCTGGGAGCCGGGCCTGGGGCAACGGTGTAATCTGTCCCCCCAGAGCCCCCGGGAGGGTGACCGGGAACGGACCGGTGCCAGCACCAGGAGGGCACAGCCGCCGCCAGCTGGCCCAGGGGCCGGATGGCAGCTTCGCCCCCGCTCCCCTTCTTTAGGAATCGGGGGGGGGCGGTAACTAAGAGCTTGCACAGCTGGCTCAAGGTCACCCGGAGCGGTGAAGGGCAGGGCCTGAGTTCGATTCCCGGTCGGGGCCCAGGCCCTGGTTGCGGACTCGATCCCCCGTCGGGGCCGTGAAGGAGGCAGCCAGTCCATGATTCTCTCTCATCATGGATGTTTCTCTCTCTCTCTCCCTCTCCCTTCCTCTCTGAAATAAAAACATTTTTGTAAAAAGGTATGTTATTAAAATTAGCCGCACCTGTGTCTCTTCATTAATGTTAGGGACGGACGCAGGGCGTACGGACACGGGTGCTAGGACCCTGTGTGACCTTGCTCCCTGTTAAGGAGCATGAGGGGTCGGGCCAGTGTGGCTCAATGATTGAGGAACCAGGAGATCAGGGTTCAATTCCCAGTCAGGGCACATGTCTGGGTTGCAGGCTCCATCCCCAGTAGAGGGTGTGCAGGAGGCAGCTGGTCCATGATTCATTCTCATCATTGATATTTCTCTCTTTCTCCCTCTCTCTTCCTCTCTGAAGTCAATACATTAAAAAAAAGAAAAAAGAGTTATGAGAGGATGTCAAAGATCCTTCCCTCACAGAGATGGAGCACCCCGGGGCAGGAATAGGGGTGCCCCGGGAAGGAGGTGGAGTCCCCAATGCCAGGGAAAACCTCTCCGGCCCAAAGACAAGGTAACAGACCAGGCCCTCGCAATGAGCTGAGCTCTGTTTCATACACGTGAACTCCCACAGTCCTCACCACAACCCTACCTGATGGGGGCTGCTGTCCCATTTCACAGCTGCGAACACTGAGGCCCAGAGAGGCGAGGCGACCTGCCCAAAGTCACACAGCCCGGCAGGGGGAGGGCTGGAAGCCAGGCTGCCGGCTCCAACGTCCCTCCCCGGGGAACCACGATGTGAGTTGCAGCCCTGCGTGCTGTCGGGCTGGCAGGGTGACCTGGGAGGCGTTGCCTAACTCCTGGGAGCTTGGGTTTCCTGCCTGACCCCAGGGCACCGGGACCTTTGAGGACAAGCCCAGCCCCACCTCCCACACAGGTGCTCCCCGCTCCCTGCCATCTGCCCTCAGGTCAAGACGGCAGACTCGGCGGGGCTATGTTCTCAGACTTCAAAGCACCTATTAGGCCAGTGGTCGGCAAACCGGGGCTCAAGAGCCACATGCGGCTCTTTGGCCCCTTGAGTGTGGCTCTTCCACAGAATACCACAGCCTGGGCGAGTTTCTATTTTGAAGAAGTGGTGTTAGAAGAAGTTTAAGTTTAAAAAATGTGGCTCTCCAAAGAAATTAAAAAAAAAATTTTAAATATATTTTATTGAGTTTTTATAGAGAGGAAAAGAGAGAGATAGAAAGCTAGAAACATCTATCAGCTGCCTCCTGCACACCTCCCCAATAGGAATGTGTCTGCAACCAAGGTACATGCCCTTGACCGGAATCGAACCCAGGACATTTCAGTCCGGACACTCTATCCACTGAGCCACACCGGTGTCGACAGGAATTTAAATTGTCGTCCTGTGGATATTTTGCTCTGGGGACTAACGAGTTTGCGGACCGCAGGCCTAGGCCAGGGGGAGGCCTGCGGGAGGCTCAGAGAGGCGCAGTGCATTTCCTGAGGCCGCACAGCACACAGAGCCGTCAGGCACTGGCCCGAGGAAAGGCGGTTCCTTCCATTCCCAGCCGGAAGGAAGGTGTCTGGCAGGAGCTTCCGGGAGCGGAGGTCCGGACAGGAAACCGGCTCCCCCTTCCTCTCCTCCAGCCACCTGGGCTGGGCCTTGGCCCCGAGGGGAGGCCAAGCCCGGAGTCCGTGGGAATCCCTGTTCACCAGGCGGCGGCTCGGCTTTACATCTGCCCCAAATCACTGCCTCCCCCATGATGTACTTTTTAAAATATATTTCTATGGATGTCAGAGAGGAAGGGAGAGGGAGAGGGAGAGAAACATCCATGATGGGAGGGAATCATGGACCGGCTGCCTCCTGCACTGGGGATGGAGCCCAAACCCGGGCCTGTGCCCCGACCGGGAATCGAACCCTGACCTCCTGGTTCCTAGGTCGACACTCAACCCCTGAGCCATGCCGGTGGGCATCCTCCCCCCAATTTAAACAACGGGAGAGCCACTAGCATTCTCCTTCCCGGGGACCGGGCTCTCTGAGCACCAGCGTGGGCCAAGTCCTCTCCCTCCCACCCCCTCAGTGTTTCCATCTGTGAAATGGAGATCATTCCTGCCTCACAGGGTCCTGTGAGAACGGAAGATAAAACCAAGGAGGAGAAAGCACCGCAGAGCACAGGTTAATCCCCAGGAGGAGGCCTGGGGAGCAATTTGCAAATAGGAAGGGGGCGTAGGGGGGACCAGGGGCTGGAAGTCACACCCCTGTGCTCTCTGGGGGGCCCTGAGGCAGGGTGAATTAAAGGGGCCTGTATCTGCCCCTCCTGGGTGGCAGGGCAGAGCAGGGCAGGAAGCCGGTTCCCCTTGTGAAAAGAGGAATATTATCTGAGCAGCTGAGATGCATCCGGTGTGAGTCTCCTTATAAGTCGGGTCCTGTTACTGTCACCGTTTGACATGCGAGATGCGAGGAAAGAAAGCCCAGAGAGCGAGAGAGATTGGGCACCTCACCTGAGCTCACCAACCTGGCACCCGGGGAAGGCGGGATGGGAACCCAGGTCCGACTCAAAGCGCCGCCCTGAGTCCCTCCCTCCCTCCCTCCGCCGGCCACCCAGGGGCTCTGCTCCCCTCGGTCCCTGCACCCGGGCACCCACGCGCGCGCCCCGCGCCAGGGGCCCCGCGCCGGCCCGCGCCCAGCTCACCTTCCGGTGCTCGCGCTCCTTCTCGATGCGGTCCAGCCGCTCCAGGCGCAGGCGGTCCAGCTCCAGGCGCAGCTCGTCCAGCTCGGGCGCGACGTGGTGGCGGCTGACCAGCACCTCCAGGATCTCCAGGACGCGCACGACCTTGGGCATGAGGCGCGCGATGGCCTCGCAGCCGTGCTGGTCGATGACCCGCTCGAACTCGTGGCCCACCAGCGCCGCGATGTCGTACACGTCCATGGCGGTCAGCTCGGCCACGTTCTTGTCCAGCGCCGAGGGGGCCGCGCCCGGGCCGCCCTCCTCCTCCATGGCCCGCGGCGCCCCAACTCCCGCAACTGCCCGAACTCGCGGCGGCGCGGGCGGCGCCCGGGGACCCCGGCCCGGCCCCCGCGCTCAGCGGCCCTCGGCCGGGCGCCCGGGGCGGCGGGCACCGGCGGGGGCGGCGGGGGCGGCGGGCACCGGCGGGGGCGCGCGGCGGCCGCGGGTCCGGGTCGGTGTCCGGTGCCGGTCCGGGTCCGGGTCGGTGTCCGGTGCCGGTCCGGGTCCGGGTCGGTGTCCGGTGCCGGTGCCGGTGCCGGTCGGGCGGCCGGATCCGCTCGGCGCGGGGGAGGCGGGGAGGGCGGGGAGGGCGCGTGCGCAGCCCGCGGCGGCGCCTCCCGAGTTGGGGCCCGAGTTGCGCCAATGGAGGCGCCGGTCCGGCCGGAGGCCCCGCTGCCCTCGGACCGGCTCTCCCCGCGCCCGGGCCCGGGAGGAGGGCGGCGCCGCGGCTCCGGGAAACTTTGGCGGCGGCGGCGGCGGCGGGACCCGGGCCCCGCTCCCTCCCCCGCGGGGATGCCGCGCGCGCCCCGCCCCGATCCCGCCCGGCGAGGGGCGCGGCCGGCTCCCGCCGCCGGGGGGCGCCCCGGGGCCCCGCGGGCACCGGCCCCGCCCATCCGCCCGCTCGGCGGGCACCCGGTCTCCCCCCGACCCCCATCCCCGATCCCCGATCCCCCGCCGCGCCCCCTCCCGGGCCCGGCCGGGCCCTGGCTCCTCCCCCCCGTCCCCGGGAAAGGACGGGTCCGAGGCCGGCCCGGAGGAGGGGGCGGCGGCAGTGAGGGGGCCGCTGGCCCTGGACGGTGGTCGGGGTGGGGGTGGGGGGCTCCGCTTTGGGGAGAGATGAGGGGGGTGGACTCCGGGGGGACCCGCCGGGCCGGGGCCGGGGCCTGCGCCCCGCTAAGGGCGCCCGTCTCCCGCCCCCCAGAGCGGGGCGCACGGGCGAGGGTTCCTCTGCCCCCCACGCTGCCCGCCCGCAGAGCCACGTCCATGGGCGGCCCGGCTCCCGGGACTTAGACCCCCTTATGGAGGGGTCTGTGGTCCCCGGCCCCTGCCCTTTAGACTCGGCTAAACCCCTGTCCCTTCCATCAGACATCCCCCCCTCCGCAGGTCCCCCACCAGGAGGGCCCTTCCTGAACCCACATTCCCCCCTCTCCTTCCCCAGCCCCTGCCTTCTCCCGCAAACTGCCCTTAACCGCCTTGGAGCCAAAAAGCCTACCAACCTGGCTCCATGTGGATTAAACATTTATTTATTTATTTGTTTTAATATATTTTATTTTGTTTTTTACAGAGAGGAAGGGAGAGGGATAGAGTCAGAAACATGGATCAGCTGCTTCCTGCACACCCCCTACTGGGGATGTGCCCACAACCAAGGTAGACGCCCCTGACCGGAATCGAACCTGGGACCCTTTAGTATGCAAGCCGATGCTCTATCCACTGGGCCACACCGGTTGGGACTTGATTAAAAATGTAAAAGGCATTTGCTTTTTGAAGGTATCTAAAGCTTATCCTTCCCACGGGCCAGGCCTTACTCTCAGTGCCTGGAAACGTTTCCTCATGTCATCCTTCTTCCGTTGGTTCGGTTCTCCGGTGGCTCTTGGGTTTCCCCAGCGCCCAGAGGGTCTGCGGTGGTCCCTCTGCCGGCTCTGGATGAGGCAGAGGCTGGCTGTGCCTCGTGTGTTTGACACGGAGCTGCACACACGAAAAAAAAAAAAAAAAGATTGCAAGCCTATTAACCAATGTCATCCCAAAAAAATAAAAACAAAAACAAAAACCAACAACAACAAACTCCAGCCTTGACGAAGTGTCTGGGATGAGCACAAGCCGTGCTCCAGCCGTGGGCCGGAGGGGAGAGATTGAAGCTGTGGAGAGGGCGGAAGGTGAGTGGACGCTGGGAACACCCCGCCAGGGGCAGGTCGGAAGAGCTGCCTGCGGGCAGAGGGGAGCCAGTGGGCTGGCACCTGGCAGAGGGGAGCCGTGATTGTGTGAAAGAAGAAGTGCCCACTTCCTGGAACATCCAGCCGCAGGGCCTGGAAACCACAATGTGCTCAGGGAGGCCACTTGGGGCCACTTGCTGCTGCCGTAGACCATGCACCGGCTGAATGTCCGAGTTTCTCCAAACGCATAGATTGAAATCTCGGCCCCCAATGTGGTGATATTAAGAGATAGGTCCTCTGCCTGGCCACCTTGGCTCAGTGGTTGAGCGTCGACCTATGAACCAGGAGGTCCTGGGTTCGATTCCCAGTCAGTGCACAGGCCTGGGTTGCGGGCTCCCTCCCCAGTGGGGGGCGTGCAGGAGGCAGCCGATCCATGATTCTCTCTCATTACTGATGTTTCTAGCTTTCCCTCTCTGAAATCAATACAAATATGTGTGTGTGTGTGTGTATATATATATATATATATATATATATATATATTTTTTTTTTTTTTTTTTAAATCACCCATTGCTTTTGTCTGAGTTCCTTAAAAAAACAAAACAAAAAAAAAAACATATGAGCTAATGCCTTAAGAGAGGGTAGTGCCAGGGAGCCCGGAAACAGGGCGCAGGGAGTGCGGCGGAAAAGGAGGAAGAGGGTATGGCTCAGGTTGGCCGGCTCCACAAGGACTCCACGCTGGTGGCGGGGTCTGTGGGGCCGGTCTGGGCGGATGTGTGCAGCCAGAGTCTCAACTGTCCTGAGCATGGAGGGTGGACGGGACCGAGGGGCATGTGGGAGCAGGCGAGCAATTTCTGTCCGCTCCTCTCTATTTTTCTTTTCTAAATACGTTTTCTTTCAAGAGGAAGGGAGGGGGAGAGAGAGAGAAACATCAATGATGAGAATCACTGACTGGCTGCCTCCTGCACTCCCCGCATTGGGAATCGAGCCAGCAACCCGGGCATGTGCCCCCCACCGGAACCAAACCCAGGATCTCTCTCTCTCTCTCTTTCTCTCTCTCTCTTAAGTTTTTATTGCTGGCCGGTGTGATTCAATGATTGAGCTTTGACCTGGGAACCAGGAGGTCACAGTTAGATTCCCGGTCAGGGCACAGGTCCCGGTTGTGAACTCCATCCCCAGTAGGGGGTGTGCAGGTGGCAGCTGGTCCATGAGTTCGATTCCCGGTCAGGGCCCAGGCCCTGGTTTTGGACCTGATCCCCCATCGGGGCCTTGCAGGAGGCAGCCAGTCCATGATTCTCTCTCATCATTGATGTTTCTCTCTCTCTTCTTCTCCCTTCTTCTCTGGAATCAATAAAAATAAAAAATGAAAGCGCCATAAACCACAAAGGGACCCAAATGATTTTAAAGCACACGTTTGTCTCCTCTGTCTTCCTCCTGGGACAGTGCGGGAAGACCCCGGGCGCCCAGTCATGACAATGATGCCGGAAGGAGGGCCCAGTGGGAGGCAGGAATGTGCTGGAGAGAGCCCGTGCTCAGTGACGGCGCTGTGGTTGGCACCGGCTCCTTTCTAACCATTTGACAGAGCAACGACTTTTGTAAAATACACGCTCACAGACGGCTTCTGGCTGTGTCTCTGGCGTGGCCACCCCTGTGCTTTTCAAAAGTTGGAGCTGAGCACTAACCGGTGTGTCTCAGTGGATAGAGCGTCGGTCTGCGGACTGAAAGGTCCCAGGTTCGATCCCGGTCAAGGGCATGTACTTTGGTTGTGGGCACATCCCTGGTGGGGGGTGTGCAGGAGGCAGCTGATCCGTTTTTCTCTCATCGATGTTTCTAACTCTCTATCCCTCTCCCTTCCTCTCTGTAAAAAAAAAAAAAATAAAATACATTTGTTTAAAAATTGGAGCTGAATGTACTTGGGTCCAGCATTGAGGGAACAGTTTGACACCGCCCTACCCCTCCCTCTTGCCTTAAGCTGGTGCCATCTGTCATGCATACAAACCGGCTGGTCCCTGAAGGCATTTGAATTTGCGTCCCCTGACTTAGAAAATAAAGCCCCGCAACAAGACAACTCTTTGTCCAACTTTTTTTTTTTTTTTTTTTTTTTTTTTTTTTTTTTTTTTTTTTTTTATCAGTCTTTATTGTTCATATTATTACAAAGGTTCCTCATTTCTTCCCCCCTCCACCAGGTTCCCACCCCACCCTCCGTCCCCCCCCCACCCCCCATTGTCCTCATCCATTGGTGCAGTTTATGTTCAGTCTCTTCTTCCCTCAATTTCCCCAATAGTAAATCCCTTTTCAGATAGTAAATCAGTTACTTAGCATTTTCTCATATCAATAATACCTCCACATGCCCCATGATACACTTCACACAAAAGACATTTCCTACTAGGTCAACCAGCCTCATCCAGGCCCCACCCAAGGCACTCACAGATCAACACCCCAGTCCTAAACTAACTCAACACATCCAGATCTAAGCCTTCATCACTTGATTCAGCAGACCCTCAAGTTCCCACGAGAGTTTCCAGCCATGTCTGAGAAGCAGCCGTGGGGCAGGGGCAGGCAAGGAGCGAGCTGTTCTGGGCCTGGCTGCTCAGGGCCTGGCCTCTGTTGCTCTGGTTCATTCCACAACCAGCTGCTCCGGGTCTGGTCACTGCCGCTCCCGACCTAGTTGCTCTGGACTTGGCTGCTGCTGCTCCGGGCCTGGCTGCTCCCAGCCTGGCAGCCGCTGCTCCGGGCCTAGCCGCACCCGACCCGCCTGCTCCCCCGGGCCTGGCCGCTCCCAGCCTGGCAGCCGCTGCTCCGGGCCTGGCCGCACCCGACCCGGCTGCTCCCCCGGGCCTGGCCGCTCCCAGCCTGGCAGCCGCTGCTCCGGGCCTGGCCGCACCCGACCCGGCTGCTCCCCCGGGCCTGGCCGCTCCCAGCCTGGCAGCCGCTGCTCCGGGCCTGGCCACACCAGCCCCGCCTGCTCCCCCGGGCCTGGCCGCTCCCAGCCTGGCAGCCGCTGCTCCGGGCCTGGCCGCACCAGCCCCGCCTGCTCCCCCGGGCCTGGCCGCTCCCAGCCTGGCAGCCACTGCTCCGGGCCTGGCCGCACCCGACCCGCCTGCTCCCCCGGGCCTGGCCGCT